TCACCGACACGATGGAGGGCCCCAAGACCAATCTACCTCCACCATTCCCATACCAGGGGACACTGCCAGGCTCCTTCCCCGTCCTCACACCACGCCTCCACAAGCTCAACTTCCCCACGTACGACGGCAAGGAAGATCCATTACCGTAGATCAACCGCTATGAGCAGTTCTTCAGAGGCCAGAAGACTCCAGAAGCAGAGCAAGTCTGGTATGCTTCTTACCATCTGACAGGTGGCATGCAGCAATGGTACATACGCCTCACACAGGACAAGACGGTGATGGATTGGGCATATTTCACTCGGTGCGTCAACAAGCGCTTTGCCCCCCCTACTTGGCGCAACCCCCTCAGTGAGCTCGCTTCCCTTCACAAGACGGGAACCGTCGACGACTACACCGAATGATTCCTGGCACACGTCGCTTGTGTCGGGCCTCTCGATGAACAACAACAAGTGAACATCTACACCGCCGGCCTCCTCGAACCCCTGAAGACCGACGTGCAGCTCCAGAACCCACCTGACATGGAGATGGCCATGTCTTTGGTGAGGGCATATGAGCGGCTCCTCGCGGTGATAGCCGACTCCAACAAGGCGCCATCTTCCAAGCCGACATCGCGGGTGTTGCCCCTGAAGGCGCCCCTTAGACACCACCTTCATCGACCACGACATCGTCTACACCACCGACTCCTCTGCGCTCGTTCAAGCGCCTCACCGCCGAGGAGATGGCGGAACATCGACGCTCTAGGCTCTGCTTCAACTACGACGAGCCGTTCACGATCGGCCACAAGTGCAAGCACCTATTCGACATCACGGCTGTCAACGACTACGACAACAATGACGATGACGCTGACATCGACAATAGCCTCCTCATGATGATCGGGATGGGCCAATCCTCGGTCCAGGGACGCCCACCCATGTACCTGGCGGGGGTGGTGTCAGGCACCAGCGCCCACATCCTTGTCGACACGGGCGCTACGCACAACATAATCGACATCAACGTCGCCCGCCTCATCGGCCTCTAGGAACAGCGCATCCACACCGCCATCCTCGTCGGTAGCGGGAACGAGGTCCCCTGCTGCACTGCAGCCTTCAGTGTACCGCTCGGCATCGACGCTACGTCTTCAATATCGACACCTACCTCCTCGACATCGGCAACGACGTCAACATCATCCTCGGCACACCTTGGCTGGCCAGCCTTGGCCGCGTGACCTAGGACTTCACCACCATGCAGCTGTAGTACGTCCGCAACGGGCACCTGCTCACCTTCACCACCGAACAACGCCGACATACTTCGACAACAGTACTCGCCCTACCAGCCCTTCCGCCGATCGAGCATGCTACACGGGCTGCCGCGCTGCCTCCACCCCGCAACATCTTGAGCCAGGCGAGCTGAGCCCGCCACCCGAACGCTCTAGACTACATCGACACCACCGACACCATCTTCGAACAACTACGCCAAGCTACTTTTTGACAACAGGAGCTCCGCACCATCGCCATGGCCATAGTAGATGGCGTGGCCGCCCAAGCTTGGTCACTTGATCAAGGCCTCATCTTCTTTGATGGTCACCTCTACCTCCCGGCAACATCATCACTCCTACCTGACCTTTTGCAGGTTCTACGCCGAGGTGGTTTGGCCAATATGGAGCTCCTGGCCCTCGACACCCACCCTCCACCGAGGCGGGGGCAACACAATGGGGTACCGACGAGCATCCTGCTTGGACGCCCATGGCTGCAGGGGCGCCCCATCACGTCGACAACGGTGGTCTTCCTCGACAACCTCAGTCGTCTACTTGTTCACGTCGACAGTGTCCACATCGCCCTCCGACCTGACTCCACCGCACACCGTCTTTCGCCAGGCGAGTTTGAATTGGGCTCCTTCATGTTCGGCACCATGCTCGACTTGACAACATCGCCATCAACATGTTCGAGTGCCACGGTCTGGCACCGCATCCCTGCCTACCTCGCCCCCGACATCGACAACCGCATCCACGACTTCGTTGCTCCACCAAGAGAGATGGTGCACTTCACGTTTGGAGCAGCCATACCACGACCTCTACTTGTTGCAGCTCGCCAGACGACAGGAGCTGGAATGAACATGAGCGCGCACCTCTACTTCTTCTATGGCTACATCGGCAACCTCCTCTACTACTTCGAGTTTTCGCCTACACGCACGCGAGAGAACATCATCGTTGCCGACCCCATCTACAGCCGTATGCTTGGCCGCATCGAGGCCATCCTTCCCGACGAAGCCTTTCCACCAGCTGGCGTCGACGACTGGACCTTACTTCGGCATGAGGACGCGCCGAGTTGAGAAGGGGGGTGGTGTCATATGCCCAATGGAGGCCCCCACAATGGAGCAAACGGGCCAAGAGGGGCCTAAGGAGGGGCGCCAGGCACCTCCACCAGCGCGCCCTAGGAACCACGTGCACCCAGGAGGGAGGGCGCCGTCGCTCCCGTCGTCGCCGCCGCCGTTATTCGAGTTACCATATTGAATCTACTAGAGTTTGGATAGAGTTCGGTTAGTTATGGAATTGGAGTTTGTTAGTATGGAAGGAGAATTCAATCCTATAAGGATGTCCCATAGGTTGCTTGGAGTCCAAGTCCTAGGGGGACTATAAATACTAGGGGATGTAATCGATCAGACTAAGCAATAGATAAGAGATTGCTCCTTCCTATCTCCTCCCCTCCTCTTTCCCTGCGCCTACTGCCGCCTCTCTCCCTGTGCCTCCCTCTCCCACGCCCCCTCAGCCCTAACCGCCACTTCCACAGCCGCCGCTAGCCCCCTCCCCCAACACGCCTCTTACACGCACCCTCGCGTACACCTTGAGCGCCATGTACCTCTGCCTGGAGATGACCTTTGTGGGAACCTTCTTTGGTCATCCATTAGGGGAGATCGCCTTTGCCCACGCTAGAAACCTTCGCAAGAATTCTCCCTTGATGACCTAACGGACCATTTAGAGAAACAAGATGATGGGTTATTCACATTCTGAACCCGGCCACGGGAAGCAAATGTACTGGCCTAGGGCAGGCTGAAGATGTGGTCCCTAACAACCAACTCCTAGAAAAAGTCATATACTAAATAATTTAGTGACCATTCATTGTAGAAGGGAATATTTCTTCTATTGGGAAATCGTTTTTAGGCGATCTGATAAGTCAATCACCCATAGAAATCGATTTATGGGGGGTGGTTGTATACCAGCCCCTACAAACGCCTTATTTTTATAGATGCTTGACTGCTTGAGTATAAGGCACTTACAAATTCAGCCTATAGAAGCCGAATTTTCTTTGCCACTAAAACATGATTCTATAATAGTGTGATATTAAACCTTCGCCTTTTTTTTCCTAATAGGCCTTAGAAATGGAATCAGACACCATGAGATCTTTATCTACACCAATTTTTTTATTTTAACCACCAAGAATTCAGTGGTACCTGTTGCAGTAGCCGTTTTTTTTTTCGGTGTCGGTTGATATTAAATTTCTAGTAAAGTTGTTACTCCACTAGCAGCTCACTGCGACTTACCACGAAGTTGAAAAATGGTAAAACAGCTGGCCCTTGTTTAGTTCGCGAAATTTGAATTTTGGGATTACTGTAGCACCTTCGTTTTTATTTGGCAAATAGTGTTCAAACATGGACTAATTAGGCTCAAAACGTTCGTCTCGCAATTTCCCACCAAACTGTGCAATTAGTTTTTCTTTTCGTCTACATTTAATGCTCCATGCATGGGCCGCAAACATTCGATGTGACAGGTACTGTAGCAACTTTTTGAAATTTGGGGTGGAACTAAACAAGGCGCTAGTCTTCTAATTGTTGATCTCGAGGAAGTGGATGTGGTAGGATCATCCAAATGCAGAAAATGATCGATGACTCCGTCTCTTCCGGAGTGCTTTCCAGAGGGGGGTGTGGCGCCGCACCTCTGAAAATATAAACTAAGGCAGCCCAAAATAGAAACTAAACCAGGCAAACCGGTTTTAGCCTAAACCATTAGCAGTGGCGGACGACAATGTTAGGACCTGTTTGGCAGGGCTCCGACTCCGGCTTCTCCAGAGGAGCCCTGCCAAACGTTTTCTTAGAAGAGCCGTTTTTCAGTAAAAAACAGAGGAGCCGTTTTTCAGTAAAAAACAGAGGAGCCCCTCAGGAGGAGCCGTGCCAAACAGGTCCTAGAGTGAAAACCATTACATTTTTCTATATCGATGCTCAAGATAACATATTTGAAGGTGGTACTTCCAACTTACACAAGCCATAACACTACTTATTTAGCGATGATTCAAACAAAACCATTAGCGATGGCATCTCTGAATTAAAATAGTTTCTATACTTGTTAACAAAATTCCAGATTTTTTTTTTTGTCAAAATGAACATGTCGTCCCTTTCTGTCTAATACCAGTAAGTGATCTCTGGAGTAGATTTAGGACAAGTTGCTGCTCACTAGGTGTTCAGATCAGAACAAAAGCAACCCAAATCAAAATAACGACGCAACAAAACAGCCTAATGTATTACAAGAAACTTCTTATAATGTCAGACGGGTTCTCAATACAGGTAGAAAACATAGACAAAGAGGATTGCAATCGAACTTTTTGTGCGGCATAATAGTGCAAAATATAAACAATTTGTGCCATTGGCAGTTGCATAGAAAATTTGCATTACTTCATTAGTTCATTCTGCATACCCCTGAAGCATACAAACTTGCTAAATATTCAGCAAAAAGAATGGTGCGTTAATATGTGCCCACTAACTACCCACCAAGAAAAAGTAGCTAGATTCTGCTGGATTACATTTGATTTGAGAAATAATTTAGACAAAAATAACAACAAATACTACACAACACCAATACAGGCCAACCCTTCTACCTGGTGTAGCGATATTCTGATAGATACATTGAAATACAGTGATGAGACCACGCTTCTGATGGCCACATAGTACACGCATGCAGCAAGTGGCTTAAGCATCTGATTTGCAGAATGCTATCAGATAATTTCTTTACAGTGCATTAATACACTGATCAGCTAGAGAAGCCTGAGATGTGCAGTATCATTCAGCCTTTTTATTTGCCATCCTGTTTTCAGCGAATGCTCAAGAACCGTAACCGAGGAATCGTCTATACATATTCTCTTGGACATTATAGGATTGCAGTCTAGCAGGCCTGCAATGAGGCACCGAATAGGGGCCCCGTGGCTGAAAATAGCAACGGAGGTCACTGAGCTCCCAAGACTTCCTTCATAGAGGAGATGCCTCTGGTTTACTTCTTTTGGGGAGAAATCATCTTCAGCTTCATTATCCCCTGAAGTGACGAACTGGAGTCGGCTTTTCCCATATTTCTTTCGTTGGAGGCTATGTCGGTTGAGCCTGTAAAGCAAATCCCAAGGAGGGCCATCTTGGACAGAATTGCTGGAGCTCTGCCGAGAGAACCCCTTCAACTCATTTTGCTGTGACAGTGTGTCCCCCATTGCCACCTTTTCTGGTAGTCTTAGGACTGTCCGGTTGAGGAATTCCATCATCCGAAACTGTACCTGTCTGAGTGACTCCCCGGACGGTGCAGAGAAATCAGGTTGGGTGCTTTCCATCAGATTGACCATTTCTGGAGTATAAATTTCGGATTTTGGGCAGCCCTCCCACTGACCTTGACTCATTTCAGTCAAAGCATCAGACAGTTGGATCTGCTCCTCTGGGAAATCAAGTTCCTGCAGGATAACATGTCATATATTACAAACTTCAACGCAGTTAAAATGAAAAGTAAATTGTATACAGATACAAATGTGCCATGTAAGTGAAGCTATAAAAGGAATGGGTGCTCCCAAAAATAGTATGCAACTGTTGTTTGCATGACATGCACACTAGGGCATTGCACTAAAATCAGCAAAACATCCATTTCAATCCCATACTAGAAAAGGATCCAATTGAAAGCTTTCATTTTTTTATACAGGAATGAGACATGTCCTAAAAAACATTTACTTGCACTTTACATCTAGATCCTAGAAATTGCTTCCACAAAAATCAAAGCTTTGGGGTTCAGACTTAGAAACAGTTCTTGGCTAATACTCCACGTTCGGGTATTCATTTACAAAAAAAGGCAATCATTGACAAGGGAGAAGCTAACATGCATACAAGATATCATTAAAATATCCCAGGTAACGAACAATTGACCATTAAAAAAATGTAATGGATTGATTTTACCATGAAATAAGCAACAGATTTAGCACATTGCAAACCAAGTCAGAGTCAAGTCTGGAAATATGTTATGATCCTTAAATAAAGAAACTAACATTACCAGCATCCAATGTTATGAAAAAACACATCATCAAATCTATAGATGGCTAAACGGGCGGCACAGCATGGCACAAGCACGATTAGGAAAGGCACAGTTAGGCATGAATATGATAGGCACGGTTAGCTAGCTGTGCCATGCCGTGCTCACCGACAGGCTCATCGGCCAGTCTAGGAACGGTAAAACAGAGCCATAACCATGCCTGTGCCAGAACGTCAGCCCTGTGAGCCTGTGTGCCTGCACTGGCCTGGCAAGCCAATACACAAATCCAAGAACTCAAGAACACCAAAAGGGCGTACCCAGTGCAGAGAGCTCCCGCTCTGTGCGGGGTCTGGGGAAGGGTGTCAGTGGCAAGCCTTACCCTCGCCTGTGTCAAGAACACCAAAAGGTTCAAGCCAAATCCAAGTCACATCCATCATCCACACATACACAACAGCACAAATGCAACTCACAAAAATCATCATCCATACACCACATATACACAAATCACAGCCATCTTGGATCTCACCGCCGCTGGACCTCACTGACTGCTGCGCGCCGCCATCTGATTCCGCAACGACGCCGCACCATCCAGCTGTTGACAGGAGGGGACGCCAGGAGGAGAGGGAGGGGGGAGCGACGGCCGAGAGTGGAAGGGAGCAGTGCCGAGAAGGGAGAGGATGGCCAGAACCTAGAGGGAAGGGTAACGGCGCCAGAATGCGAGCACAGTGGCAGAAAGGGTGGGGAAACAGGGGGTTTTCAATTTTCATGAAGCGGCCACTTAACAGGCCGGCCAGTAAACGGGCTGTGCTCACGTCGGCACTGCAAGCAAAGGTCAAGCCCAAGCATGGCACACCTCAACAGGCCACGCCATGCCTCATGCTGCCCGTTTGACCCAGCCCTTTTGGCCATCTATAACCAAATCCGATAGACAATTTCAGTATGTCTGCATTTGAGGAATAACCATTTTATGGTATAATCGTATAAGGTATTGTTTGGTCTACAAAGCTAGACTATGGTTAGAAATAACTATGTAGAAATGAGCGTCGACGGTGGACAATGGCAGGGGCTCGTGGGCTATCCCACTTGACTGCCCCCACCCAAGCTGTTAGTTGATTTGTTGTAGGTGCAGGGTCGCTTTTTCTTTCTTTACCGGCGCAAATGTATCTTATGAGATAAAGACAAGGGTGTGTGGGTGTGTGTTGTACTAAGGGTTCTTTACCCCCTATTTCTTCTTAATATAATGAAGCGCAGCTCTCCTGCGTTTTTGAGAAAAAAAAGTTTCCAAAAAATATATCATAGCAGAAGTAGGCAAGTAGCAATGTCTCAGTTGATTTAGTTTCAACTAATTATCAGGAACTAAGGCAACTTATGGAACGTGATCTGCAACAGATAGGTACCAACAGAGGCTAGAAATCTTGGTGATATTTTCAGTTGAATGGCTTGCAGAACTAAACCATGCAGCAGTAGCCATCTGAAATAAGGGAACACAGTTTAAGGAACAAGTATTTGTCTTAAGAAAAAAAATCATATTATAAATGCACAATGCATGACTTTTCTTCCAGATCCCCAAGGAACATCTTCAATAAATTTTTCGTTCTACTGCGAGGAGCAATTATCGCCTAATAAGGACATAGTTTCCAAGGCTGACACAATAAACAAGTGTAATAGTTCCAAGTGACACCGTAAACAAGTGTAATGGTCTCAAATGGACATAAACAGGAATGCATAAGATATGCACTCTCCAAGAAGAAAAACATTATATGCAGTAGCAGTGTAGCATGGCTGCTAGTCACATCAGCTTAGCTATGTCCAGCTTTAGATTTGCTGCTAAATCTATACTCTCGTATCTCACTCTCACCACTACTAGCGCTTTTTACCAAACCTACTATTTTTTCTCAGATATGGAGAAGAGCTGTGCATCACTTCACTTAAGTAGAAAAAAAAAACCAAATGCAAATGAAACTCACACTTGGCGGGCACGCCTCTACGCTTTGAACTCAAACTGTCTGAAACGCTTTATGCTCAATAAAGCGGGGGAAACCTGTTCTCTAAAAAAAAGAACTCACACATCCAACACAACGCTTACACACAACAATGCACCTGGCACCAGTTTAACAAAACAGAACAGATGCCACTAAAGGATTAAATAGTGACCAGAAGGAGGACAGTAACAAGGTTAGAACACCCCTAACCTGCCCTACTACCAAACCCACTAAAATCACATAAAAGCATTGAATCTTTGCATGCAGAGCATTTCCACATCATTATTTCCTTATGTAATATAAATTGTAACTTTCTTCCATGTCATTATTGTTGGAGGTAACAGAGAAATAATCAGCCAGGGCTACTTTCCCAGGCGACTGCATTGCAATATATATAGGATAAGTACTGCATTGCAATATATATAGGATAAGTACTGCATTGATTACATACAGCTCACTAGAGCTTTAACTAGACAGAATAGCTGCCTGGGTACCCGCACAACTCTTGGGCTACCCAAGGACTTAATGACATAGATTAACTAAAAACTTAAATACACTAAATGTGCCTGGGAAGCAGGGCTTACAGCTACAGTTCTCCCCCTAAGACCTGCTTCAACCCTTCTCGATCTGCTTGATGCCAATTCTGCTTCTCATATCTTCAAGCTTGGTCTTGCCCAAAGCCTTAGTGAGAATGTCTGCCAATTGATCAGCTGTAGGGATGTACTCAGTCCTGATGCTGCCTTCTTCGATACAATCCCTGATAAAATGTTGCTTAACTCTGATATGTTTGCTCCTGTCATGGAAGACAGGGTTCTTAGCAAGTGCAATTGCAGACTGGTTGTCAACCCTCAGTTCCACAGTCTCCACCTTTCTTCCCAACAAATCAGCCAACAATCTTGATAGCCACAGGGCTTGTGTTGCTGCTGAAGTCATAGCCACATATTCAGCCTCACAACTAGACAAAGCCACCACCCTCTCTTTGATAGATTGCCACCGGTGACCAAGCTGTTGCCAAAGAAGAACACAGAACCTGTTGTGTGCTTTTGTTGAGTCAATATCACAGAGCTAGGTCTGAATCACAAGTAGCCCACAAACCTAGCAGAATTTGGGGCTCTTTTGAACTGCAGACCATAGTCCAAAGGTTCCACCAAATACCTCAACACCCTCTTGACTGCTTGCTGGTGCTCGATGGTCGGTTTCTCCAAGAATCTGCTCACATAGCCCACCGAGAAAAGCCAAATCAGGCCTGGTATGAACCAGTATCTCAAGCTTCCAACCACCTCCTATAATGAGTTGGATTCACCTCCTTGGCGATGCTATATGCTTCTTTGAGCTTGAGCGCTCTTCCATTGGTGTAGTCTGCTGGATTGCAATCGAGACATGCTTCCCAGTTCTAGGATTTTCTTGGCATAGTGAGTCCGCCTCATGGTGGTCCCATTCTTGCCTTCTTTGCACTTCAATGCCAAGGTAGAAACCGAGCAAACCCAAGTCACTCATCTCAAAAGTGGATTTCATCCTTTCCTTGAAAGCCTTTACTTCATCTTTGATCGCTCCAAAGATGATCGGATCATCAACATAGACCCCAACCAACAACACCGAGCCCTCTGAACCTTTCACAGTAAATTGTCGCTTCATGTTTGCTCTGTTTGAACCCCATTTCCTTCAAAGTAGAGTCCAACTTAGCGTTCCGCATACAGGTGCTGCTTGACCCATACAAAGCTTTGTGCAAAGCGATATACCTTGCTTTCTTCCCTGAATAGCAAACCTGTGGGCTGCTGGACATATACTTCTTCCTTGAGCTCTCCATTTAGAAAAGTGACTTGACATCCATATGATGAACAGTCCATCCTTCCTGGGCAGCTAGAGCAAGCAAAGGCGGTCTCACTTGATTCTATCGCGCAACAGAGCGAACACATCCTCATATAATCAACACCCTCTTGTCAAGACAAACCCACGAGCAACAAGCCGAGCCTTGTGCTTGATCACATCTCCTTTCTCATCTTTCTTGACTTGTAGACCCATTTTAGAGAAATTGGCCGATGGCCGACTCGGAGACACAAGCTCCCAGTGCCATTATACTCAACAAATACAGCAGACTCCTCTTTCATTGTTTGCACCGCCATGCAGGATCATCTTTTGCCTCTCAGATAAGAAATGGGTTCCCAGTGGGTGAGGTGGAGCTCTGCGAACAAGCGCTACTTGCGCGGGCGAACTTCCTGCTCCCCGCCTAATATGCCATCTATGGTACGATAAGCAATGTTGCTTCGTCGTTGTGATAAGTATCCAAATTCCTCTCATCATCTTCCAAGGAGTCACGTGCTCCACTTGTGGGTCTGGCCGAGCCGGTGATGGTGAAGGCGTTCGGATGTCTCGGACACCTCTTCTCCTGCATCAAGCACCGATTCTGCTCTTTGGAAAGCTTCAGTGAGGCGAGAATGGGGCCGAGGAGATG